TTGTGGTTTTGTTTTGTTTGGAGTACAAAACGATTGAAATTTTTTTGAAAGTTTGTGTCTTTGTGAGAGGGGTACGTTAATCGTTTCGTTTGTTTTCGTTCGATTGATGATTGTAGCTTCCTCATTCTTTTAAATTAGTAGCTGTAAACGCTCATCGTTCAATAAATCTTTATACCTTTAGTATTAACAAATACTGACTTTTATTTCAACTATAAAAGCACAACACTTTAGTAGACCCCAAGTTAGAGGCGTTTGGCCCAAGTTAGAGTCGTTTTGGCCCAAAAAGGCGAGTACGTCAGAGCGTATAACTAGGCAAAGACATTAACGGGTAAATAATATAAACCAGCAAGTCAAATACCAAGAAACATATTATAAAGATTTGGCCACATCAACGTTGGAAGAAATACAAAATAACATTGAATCCCCATGTGAAAACCATGTTTTGATTTTTTTAGGGAACGCTCCCAACTGTCGCATATAAAGCGACAATCATATTTTCTTGAAATTCTCTGTTTTGTTGCGATGAAGTTCTGTTTGAATGAAAAAATGGATGAATACACCGGTGCTGGTGTATTCTGTCAAAATCCAATCATTAAACGTTTTTCATGGTAGATAAGGTTAAAGGATGCACTGTCTATTGTGTTCATCCTAAAATTCAAAGAGAACGAGAAAGAGGGAGAATTTCGGGCTAACTAAAGAATAACTGCTAGCTTCAATTTTAACCCACAAGTTTAATAAAATAACACAGGTAGTCGCATCGAAAAATTAAAAATTATTTAAATGTGTAAAAATTGTTGAAAAGTGGATATGATAAAAACCTCCGTCAGGCCTCGTATAAGCTACGCCTACCTGCATTCTTCTACCGTGCCCATAAGCCTACGTCTAACACCGAAATGAGTTGGACAGTGGCGAGATTCCTTGTCTGCGCGAGGTTGCAATTGAATCTTACACATATGTCTACAACAAAAGGGCCCGACGTCGTGATCGTATAATTATCCGCATACCTTACGATATCTATGCCGTCTGGAGGAGGTTGAACAATTCTCCCACGTGGTTTGGACTTCTCGTTCCAGACATTTATAGTTGTCGTGCGGATCCAATGCTTTGGTTGACTTAGTGTTTCGGATGACACTTTCAATCACCTATTGTAAACAGTGGTGGTAACTTCTCGGCGAGAAAAGGTCTAATACGACGTAGTACTTCGCTTATTTCCCCGTACGCCCAAGGTTTAAGGACGATTTAATCGTTTCCCACAGTTTACTCATATCGATTCTAATATTGCAAATCTTCGGATGTATCAGTCAGATTACCTCCACAATCAATTCACTGACAATGGTGTATCAGCGGGGTTGGCACGACGGGGTTCATCACGCTGATACGTTCTGCTGCGAAATTTGGTCTTATTTCGGAAATTTTACCAGCAGGTATATTGCGATCGGCTGCAGCTTTGACGATGTTTCAGGAAAAACCCTTCCGCTACCAGAACATCGAAAAGCTTTGGCAGCTCTTTAAAGCGAAGGTTATTCCACTCTCTGAATTCTGGCCAATAAGCCTTCTTTTGGTTAAGGAAACTGAGACGTTCAGAAGTTATAAAATCAGGAGATCTGCTTATTGAGAGAAATTATACATTGCCAAGTCACGGCAATTGACAGACTAGTTGACACTATGGACTGTGGCACAAATGTGATCGATATTGCTGGTCAGGATTACCTTCATTCTTGTGGGGGGAAGTTGCACATCGGCACGTTTCGATTCCGTCTAACGCGGCTGCAGTAGGAGGAAGCAATCAGCAGCTACTTAGTATTTTGCAGATTAATCCGCATCACTGCAAAGCGGCTGCAGCTGAACTTCTCCTATCCCTCACTAAGTCTGAAGTTGAGATAGCCCTGGTCTGGGGAGCGAACGTTAGATAAGGTTAGAACGTGTATCTTAATAATTAATAATTTCAGCGGAGGATACGCCACGGCGGTTAGATTGGAGACTCAATCTGTGAGGGTTCTCGTCTTCATCTCCTTGTACCTGCCATACGAGTACTCCGACCCACCGGGCCAAGTAGTAGAGAAGCTGTTCGCGGAGCTGGGAAGCAAAGGCAATCTCATCGTTGGATGCAATGTCATCGCTGGGGCAGTAAGGCAGTAACTAATGTGGATGAATCCCTCATACTGAACTGTAGTATCCTCCGCATGTTTATTTTCGGACCGGAAGATCATATTCAAAGTATTGGTAGAGGACATTCATCAAAAACCCCATAGGAATCCAAGGAAAGTTCGTTGGAACAAATTTAAAGTGTACGTTGCATTGAGGCTGAGATCCACAGGTGGACTCTGTTTCTTTTGAAATCCCTGGAAAGACATAGATTTACGTTGGCAGCATTCCTTGACATAGAGGGAGTCTTTAATAATGTCACACCTGACACTAACCATAATTCTCTCACTAAACTTGGTATAACATTACTCCTCATTAAATGGGTTAACATGCTCAGCTGTAGAATCATCAACACAAGTATTGGGGAGTGAGCCGTCAGGAAATCAGTGACAAGAGGTACTCCTCAAGGGGGGTATATCCCCACTTCTATGGCTTTTGGTGATAAATAATTATTAATGGATCTGGAACATAACGGAACTAAAATCGTGGCTAACGCTGACGATGAGGTTCTAATTGCTGGGAAATTCCTGCAATCTATTTCAGACCTAATACTCTACTCCTGCAAAAACTCCATAGGAAAGACCTGGGGACTATGGTGGTTTAGTTTGGTGGCACCTCTGGGAAGGCTTTCTTCAGTAAAAATGTTGACCAAGTCCAAAGAGTAGCATATCTATTAATTACAGGTCCACTTAGAAGCACACCTCAGTGCCTTGGACACCCTACTCAACTTGAAACACTTAAGACTATTTGTAGAGGAACAAGCAGCGAGATGTGCTCTGAGGCTCAAGGAACTTGGTCAATGACGCAGTCAATTATTCGGACATTCATTCAAACTCAATAAAGACTGTAGCGTATTCCCGGCAGAAATCTTTGCTCTCAGTTGAACAGAACGGACCGGTGACTATATATGTCGATAGTCAAGCGGCCCTAAAAGCGCTAAATTCATCCACCATCAAATCGATGGTAGTCCTGGAGTGCAGGATTGCTCTGGAAAATGTGAAGTCCTTCATTAAGCTTTGTTGGATTCCATGTCACAGTAACACCTCTGGCAATGAAGCTGCAGATAAATTGACAAGAAGTGCCTCCGAGTCAACTGTTCTAGAGATTGAGAGCTCGGTGAAGCCAATCTTGTGTCACTTCTTCCGGATAATACATAAACATTATTCTGGAAAATTTCAGCATAACTGGCAAAATGCAAGAGACTATATTGCTTCCAAGAAAATTTGGCCGCTGATCTCCGAAAGGAGGTCTTTATCATTAACTTCCATAGCGAAATCTGGCCTTAAACTTGTAGTTGGCTTAATCACAGGTCACTGTAATATTTAGGTCATGACTTCTAAGTGGGGGGAGGAGGTGGGGTGACTATAGTGACTTCTGCAGGCTTTGTCAAGACGAGGAAGATATAGAAACTGTGGAATACTTACTCTGTCACTTTCCTACTCTTTTTAGAACCATCAACTACATAATCTTTATCTATCTTCATTTATTTTCCTTTCACTCTAATCAGGTTGATCACAATGAACCAGCAGGTCTCCGAGTGGAGCGGACCGGGGCAACTGCGCATCCTCTAACCTAGCCTCACCTGCTGGTGCGATGCTTCCTCAATACGTTCTAAATATAACAATGTTGTAGGATGAAGTTTTAATTGAACTAAGTTTTCTAAATTTCAGTTATACCGTATCACCTTCTCATATATTTTTCCTCGAAGTTCGTTGTAATTGAACTACAAAAACGATTCACAATCCGGACTTGGAAAAGCAGTATAAGAACTGCGGTGGACTTCGAAGATGTCGACCCGTGGGAACTATGTTGCTGCAGCATACCGCAACGTAATATATTTTGCCATAGTCTCGCAACTGACTTAATTTATAGCAATTTCTTAAGTTCACCCACTATCTGCATCCATAACATCGCACCAAGCGTAGCCATTTAAGCCGATTTTGTTTGTTACAACAGTACCGCCAAAAAAATGCCAACTCTGTTCTAATAATAGACATTTCGTTTTGTAAACGTAAACGAATTCATAACAAGTGGAAAGAGATAAAAATGTTTATAGGTGCAGTAGTAAGATTTAGATGAAATGTCAAAAGAATTTTAGTTTAATTCAATTTTACGGCTCCTACTCCATTCATCTCGTCAATCCAGTAAAAAAGTTTTTGTCATACCGACAGACAAAAACCAAGGGAAGAGATAACGATTGGTGGCTCCTTCCGAAACCATGCTATTCCCTTCCCTTCCTTACCACTTGTAAACCATTTTTTCCACTACTAAGCAAACGTTGTTTTTATATAAACAACAGTAAATTTCTTATTTAATTTCATTAGGAATTGTGCTGCTTTAGCAACCCCAATAAATTCAAAATTTATCAAGAAATTGAAAAATGTCAGACACATCATCATCATGATGTGTTAAAACCGCTTATGTGTTAATGTCCCATCATACACATACAAGTTTAGCTTGAATTTGTAACAAATAGCCAATGTCTGTTGAAAAAGATAGGTATTTTCTGACGTTTTCTCTCGTATTTATTTGTTACAAAACCTTTCTTTTATAAAAACAGGCTATTATATGCCGAATAATAACTACTGACTTCATGTGGCATGAGCTTGTTAATAACTGAGTTGGTAACTTAATATGTAATTAGAATTTTTGCTGGTTAGCCCGATATAGTAATTTATATATTATTTGTTGTTAGCCATAGTCAAGAAACTTAATTAGAATATATTCATATATGAACTTCGAGGGTGTAATAGTTAACATCCATGCTTCCATCAAAAATTTGTTGTAATATTAATGTATTTAAATCTTTTAAAATTATTGTTCGGTCACACTTACCAAAAGTGATAACAAAATAATAATGAACACTAATTATTATATTTCAAGAAATTAAAAACATTATGGGTACAAGAACAGATAAACAATTCATGTATAAACGGACTGACTAGCGGACGGTAATTTTATAAGTTGCCTTTCGGGACAGTTAACTCCGTTCTTCCTGAAATAGATGCTGCAAAAAGTGATAAAATTCATTCTGTAAAATATAGTTATTCTTACTGCAACTTTATTTTATTATTTTGTCAATGTAGCTTAAATGGAAAAAGAACCAATAAAACTGGAATATTTATATTACGGCCTATTCATTATGCCAGTTTTGATCTTTTTTTAGCGATTGCGTCCTCAACGGCGCGTAATTGCTTCAGAAGTTCCTCCCGTCTGGACTTTTTATTGTCTCTCTCCGAGGGGGTTGAATGTGCAGGAGAAGCTAGTGCAGAAACTCCTACCGCTGCTGGTTTCTTCAGTTCTATAGTTATTGGTGACCTTTTTTTTGGAGGTTCCACTAAGAAGAGAAAATTTATACAAAAGTTTGTTCGTTATTTTTGGGTTTTTTACAATGCTATTAAATAAGGCCATCTTCGATCTTGAGTTCAAAACAGAATATTCACCTTAAGCTCGAAAATAATTTTGTTTACCAATAAAGAATATTTATTGAATTGCTTTGTATCAAAAAAAATGGCTCAAGTTTTTTAATATAAGCTCCTTTTTATAACATTTCTTTAAAAATCTTACCCTTTTTAATAACCTTTCGTCCGCTTGCACTTGTTTTTTCAGAAGGGCGCGAACGTTTGGGTGGCGAATTATCCCTGGAGCGGGAAGAACTCCCTGAAGATGATGAACCTGAATCTGATTCCGTTTCAGAAGCAGTGGAGTCCGACGAAACTTCTAAAATAATATATTATGCAAGTTTCCCATTTCATGAACTAAAGAAATACATACCAGAGTCTGAAGAAGATGATGAGTGTCGACGCCTAACCTTTGTTCGACCAGTATGAGTTTTTTTTGAAACTGGTGAAGCGCGTTTTTTCTTATGAACAGGGCTATATACATTACCTTTGTTATATACTGGGGACAAAGAAGAGTTTGTTCTCCGTTTTGAAGATGGTGAATGGTGTAAACCTGTCAAACGAAGAAATACTCTTTTTAAAGAAATTTTAAAAATACAAAAATATTAAATATATTAAATCAACGACATTAATAAATATCTTCATTTTCCATTCATGTCATAATTACGATAATAAAAATTAAGATCAATATTAATTATACAGCGATAAAACTCGACTCCTATATTACCAAGAGAAAGAACAAATATGATAATTAAGAAATATTATACCTTTTAAGAAATTATGGTCTTTCTCGATAACTAAATTTGATTTCAACTCCGTTAGATCATTTTTGAGCTCATCAATTGCTGCGTGCAATTCAAATGTAAAAATTAAATTATGTAAAGTTTTTCAAACACAACTTACTTGGAGTACGCCTAGATCTTCTTGTTGACGGAGAAGGGGATCTCAAAGATCTTCCGCCTGTTCTGCGCGACGTAGGTGATTTTTGTGAATTGCTTGCATAACGTCGTCGGTGATTTTCGCGTGAACTAAGAGACCGGCTGGAATCCGAACTGGAGTCGCTCTGTGAACTACTAGAACTTGTGTACGATGAATTACTGCTGTAACTTCGGCGATCCCTTCTTCTTTTGTCGGCCCGATCTCTGGAGGAACCTCTGCCACCTGGAGATTTAGACCTCATCCATGGATCATTCCACTCATCCCCGCGTCCAACTGGTTCAACTCGTTGTACTATGACTTCTCTTGTAGGACGTAAACGCCTATCATCTTCGTATTGCGGCATACGATGTGGTGGAAGCTCTCTATATCGTGCCGAGCGACCATAAGGATCCACATCATCGTAATGGGCTGCTGGAGGGCCACGACCATAGCGCTCACCTGGACCATATACATCACTTACAGCTTCTGGGTACAAAGGATGACGAATGACCTGACAGTGAAAAAATACATACATTTTTTAATTCGGTTAAAACAAACCATCGCACTTAGGGGAAACATGTGCCAAAAGGTTCACAAAAACCCACTTATAAAAAAGCGTTTATTAAAAAATTTAGATAAATGATCATTTGACTATTTTCTGTGTTCAGAATTTGCTGAGCTATACCAAACCTACGAACTATTCGGTTAAACATGCCGATATGGAAAGCAACAATCTACATTTGGCAATTATGAAATTAGATGAACTTTAATCAAATATATTTTTAGCGAAATTTATTATTTCTAATATTGTTTGTTTTGTACATTGTGCGAAAACAATTAGTCTTGAAAATTTCACAATGCATTTTTCATCTTTCTTTTTTTTTTTTGAACATCGTGGTGTATTTCCTTTTTATCGATTCATTCATTGGCAATTTTAAAATAACTTAATTTATTAACTTGCCGATAATTTTCTTTATATACCAAGATTATAAGCGTTTTAATTCTACCGATTTCTGTCGGTGACTCAAAATTAAACAGAGAATCGCAATCGCCGAGCAGAGTGTCACACTTTATGTTCTCCCTATTTGGTTCTGATTGTGAGTGTGGAGTGAATTAGGCTCATTGAAGGTACGTGTGCCTGCATTTGCCTGTTCCACATTAATTTGCTTAATTATTTATTCAACAATGTACTGAACTATTTAAATTTGACCTTCTTTTAACGTGCAAACTTCTATGTTTATCTACGGATTTCTATTTCTTTCATGCTTTTTTTATTCAATTCATTCTTAATACTAATCATTCAAATATGATGGTAACGTTTACCACCAAAAGTTCCTTCCCATTCGCCGGCGTTAAGTACGAACGCGTTTTATTTTTCGTTGCTAATGAAAGGTGTTTTTTTCACAAGCAAAGCAAAATAAATAATATAAAAGCAAACAGTACGCTACTAAATAAACTCAGGAAATATAATCTAAAAAAAAGCCTGCTAAAAAATCCTTTTTATTAAGAATTTTTGCAAAATAGTTTTTTTCTACTTTATCCTCTTTTTCCCCAAGCACATAAATCGGTTTGTTAAAGTGTTAACAACAACAAGTGTATGTCACTCTCTCATACGGAAGAGAAAAATGTAAGTGAGAACGGGCAAAACGTATACCTTAAGTTGACGTCGAAAGATTTCAGCTCAACCGCGCCAAACGCCACGAAAGCTGGTATCTTACAGCTAAACCCCAAAGCCGTTCTAAATCGGCATCGCCGAGAGTTTTTCATGACAAAAACTTGCCAGGTGAGACTACTCCCAACGAAACAACAGAAATGTCATATAAACAAAACAATGTAAACACGCCCAAAATAAATTCTATCAAGGTGCTATCACACGATGCGATTGTACATCAAGAAACTATCGCTTCAAGTAAGCATGCGTCTCTTGAAAAAAAACAAGAAGCAAAACATAGTTCCTCCAGGCATGGACCGATATGTCTTAGTAACAAAGCGAAAGGCTAGTTCTAGAACTCCAACCAAGGAACCAAAAGCTAAAACCCAAAAGTCTATAATCAATGACCGCAGCAACAGATTCTCAATTCTCGGCTCGAATAACGAGACTGATGAAATGATACAACCGGTTAGATCCCAAAAACCTCCCCCACTATATCTTCGCGAAGAAACTACAAACAATCTTGTGAACAAACTCTCCCAAATATTGGGTAAACCTAATTTTCACGTGGTATCTCTTAAGAGAGGAAATCTCCAAGAGACGAAAATACAAACTTATACTGAGTCGCATTATAAGGACCTAGTTCGTGCTCTGGATTCTGAGAAGAAGAATTATTACACCTATCAGATCAAGAGCTCAAAAGGACTAGTCGTCGTCATTAAAGGGCTTCATAGTTCTACACCCACACAGGACATAAAAGATGCTCTCGCAGCAGAAGGATTCGAAACAAAGTCTATCATCAAAATTTTCAATAAAGATAAAGTTCCGCAACCTATGTTTAAAGTAGAACTAACATACGAATCTTCGCAACTAACGAAAAAGGGACCGCAACCTATGTTTAAAGTAGAACTAACATACGAATCTTCGCAACTAACGAAAAAGGGACAATTTCATCCAATTTATAGCCTTAGGCTTCTTTGTAATCGCGGTGTGAAAATTGAAGAACCTCAAAAAAGAAAAGGCCAACCTCAATGTACAAACTGCCAAGAGTATGGGCATACCAAAACGTATTGTAAATTGCTATCGGTTTGTGTTACTTGTGGTGACCTCCACAAATCATCGGAATGTCCACATCCCAAAACTGACCCAAGCGTCAAAAAGTGCAGCAATTGCGGTGGAAATCATACTGCAAACTACAGAGGATGTCCTGTATATATCCACTTAACAAAATCTAGCTTAGCCACAAAAAAGCCTACAAGCTACCGGGTACGGGAAAATCTACAATTTAATATCAAAACAGCTGAGTTCCCTGAGCTAAACAAGAGGAATGAAACCACCGCTCCTAATTACAATCTCCCCTCACAGAATATGCAATACTTATATTCTGATACATTGAGAAATGACTCACCCAACTATAAAAATTCAAATATAGAATCATCTATCGAAAAACTAATCGTCACCATGAATTCTTTTATGACAAGTATGCAAAGCATGATGCAAGATATTGTGAGAAATCAATCTATGATTATGCAAATAGTTTTAAAACAAAAATAGATAAAATTCGAATATGTTTTTGGAACGCAAACGGCTTAAGCCAACATAAACACGAGGTCGAAAACTTTATTCACTCACTCAACATACACATTTTACTGGTATCTGAAACTCATTTCACTTCTAGAAACTGTTTTAGAATAACCGGTTACAGTACATACGACACTAAACACCCTAGTGGGAGAGCTTGCGGTGGCACCGCGGTGATAATTTCTAATAAAATTCAGCATTACCCCATGCCAGAATATAAGTTTGACCACCTACAAGCTACAACAGTTGCACTATCTTCAACGAATACAGCTATATCTGCTATATATTGTCCTCCGAGACATAGTATAAGCAAAGATGAATTCGCACACTTTTTCTCATCTCTTGGTAGTAGATTCATTGCAGCTGGAGATTATAATGCCAAACACACCTTCTGGGGATCTAGACTTATTACACCCAGAGGTAGACAGCTTTTAAACTCCATTTCGTCCGCTAAACTGGACGTGTTATCTACTGGCCAGCCTACTTACTGGCCTTCAGACCTGCAAAAATGTCCTAACTTAATTGACTTTGCGGTAACAAAGAATATTAAGAGGGGACAAATGTCCGTGCTACCCTCGTTTGACTTGTCGTTAGACCATTCCCCAACTATAATAACATTAAATGATGTTCAATTCGCAACTTCCCGGATTATCTACCAAATAAATATACAAACTGGATGAAGTACAAAAAATATGTCAGTACACATGTGAATTCTAACACTCCTCTAAAGTCCGGAGAAGAAATTGACAATGCAGTTAAAATATTTACTTCGATAGTCAATACCGCTGTCAATGTTGCCACTCCCACTAAATTTTCAAAACTAGAAAATAATTCCTATAATCCATCGACCATTCGAAAACTCGTGTCTGATAAAAGGAAGGCCAGAAGAGAATGGCAGAAGCACCAATCACCTAGGTTTCGGGAAAAACTAAAAGAATGTGAAAAACTCTTACAACAAGCACTCAGATTAAATGAAGAGCGAAACCTAAAAAAACTTGAAAAGACCTATCGCCCACGAATCTCCAATTCGCCTAGAAAATGGGACTTGGGCAAGATCTACAGAAGAAAAAGTAAACGCATTTGCCGAACATCTTGAATCTGTATTTACCCCAAATCCCGGACCATCGACAGTTGTTCAACCTTTAATTGACGACATTGTTCCGAATCCAATACGATTTTCTCTAAAAGAAATCGAAAGTTCTATAGCCTCGATAAAACTAAAAAAATCCCCGGGCAAAGATAGAATTACTCCAAACATGCTCAAGAAACTACCAACACCGGCCAATCCCACGGCAGCGGGTTCTACGATACCGGATTGACCCGAAACAACAAGATTCCAGTTTCGGCCAGCGGCTGCCAACCCAGTATGTACATGTTTGTGTTTGTTTATTTTTCTGCATTGGGAGCAGCATATCCCGGAATGCTTGCTCCGGATTTTATTGGTCCGTGCCGGGATTGAGGAAAACCCCGGACCTTGGTTCTGCTCGGTTTGTCAGAACGTCATCCACCACAGATCTGTCTCGGTGCGATGTAATGGATGCAGAGAGTGGGTGCATTTCAAGAACTGTTCCGGATTAAGGCGTTTGCGAGACTACAGCGAAAGGGATTATGTTGCGACTTGCTGCAGTAACGTAGTCCCCAGCGAGTCCTCTTCTTCGTCGTCCTCGTCAGAGACGTCGTCGGAGTATGGCACTCCACCACAGTCTCCAGAACAGCAACCAACACCGCAGCACCTAACGCCACATGTTGCTGTTCCAACTCCGGATTGTGCATCATTCTTGCAATTCAATTGCAACGGACTTCGAGGCAAAATAGATGAGATAGTGGAATTTATGAGTCGGAGGAATATTAAGATCGCAGCGGTGCAGGAAACCAAGCTGAATGAAAATTGCAGCCTACAACGTTGTTATGGTTACAACGTACTAAGGAAGGATCGCACCAGAAGTGGAGGTGGGGGATTAGCGTTCCTGTTACACCATTCTGTTCAGTACAGACCTATCTCGCTTGAGCTAGTCTCTAGTGACCCATACATGGAATGTATGGGGGTAGCAGTCAAGTGTGGAACTGCCGAGGTAGAGGTGCTTAATGTGTATATCCCGCCGATTAATAGCTGTGAACCACGTTATTTGCCTGATATTAGCCCATTATTGGTAGGCAATAACCGCCTGGTACTAGGGGATTTTAATGCCCACCATGAGTTGTGGCATTCCGTCCTAGGTAATGACCAGAGGGGATCAGCGCTGGCAGAGCAGATTGACTGCTCCACATTCTGCACGGTT